GAGGGGCAGCTGCCTCTGGACTCTGCCCAAGGAAGGCACGAGGAATAAGCATTTGCCTCCCACAGAGTCCAGCTGTCCAAAGTGTGTGTGACCCTGGAGTAGAGCTCTCCAGAGGAAAAGATAAGGGAGCAGCCCCGCTACCTCCACACACTAGGGAAAGGTCTGGGGACCTACCTGAGGTGACAGGACCCATGGGTGACCCCTCTACCCTGTGGTCCCATCCCTGGAGCAGTCCTGCTCTCACCAGCTCCTTTCCCTGCTCCAGAGCACAGCCCTGCCAGAGCAGTGCCTGCCTTGCACACAGCCTTCCACTCCTTCCTGAAACATTTGGATGTTGCAGACATGAGACAATTTTCCTGACAAGTACGTGCCACACACTCGGAAGGGCTGGAAGCTCTGGACTTCCCAGCACGTTGTGAGCAGCAGAAAGCAGTACAGAAGGATCATCTCCTCGTGCTGCCACAACTTTCTCTCTGTGTCCCTGGCACTGACACAGTGATCAAATCCACATCTTCCTGTAACTGTTTCATAAGAACACACAGAAGCCCAAAGCTGAGCTTTTTTCAGTGGAAACTACTGTGGAGCTGGAAAGCATTTGCCCTGCAGAGCTGAGGGATCTCCGTCAGCTGCAGGGCCATGAGATGGGAGAAGTCTGAGGGAACACTGAATGTGCTCCTGGGAAGCTGAGCCCAGGGATTTTAAGGCCCAGGGAACTTCTTGTCCCTTGACTGTTTGCTGTTGGACCCCTTCCCACGCAGGTTGGGCCTGTGTTCAAGGGGCAGGTGCACACACACACACACACACACACACACATACGTGTGAGCAGGCATGACACTAACGTGTCAGACCACACAGACCCACCAGAGACAGCTGTGCCTTTACCAACATCCACAGAAAAAACATCACCCTCATCAGCAAACTCTCTCCTCTCCCTGCTGTGCCTGAGCAGGTCTGGAGATCACTGCTGAAACATGCACACCCTGTCCCACTGGAGATGCACAGGCACATCCCATTGATGGTCCCTGAGATGTTTGCATGGGCTCTAAGTCTGTTATCCATATCAAGACCTCAAAACTCTTTCCCACCCACCAGCTCAGTCTTTCCAGATGTATCTCCTCCCACCCCCTGGCTGCTTCTGTTTGGATTTTCCCTGACAAGTTACAATCACACGTAGACATGCACACATACAGGATTGGATTAATTAATTAGGATTGAATAGAGAAAACCACAGGTAAATTTTGGACTGGTAGGATCCTGTGACCCATCAGCCCTTCTCAGGAAGGCCAGCAGAGACTCAGCTGAGCCCGTGCAGAGACAGTCTGGTCAGGAGGGAGAGTCTTTGCAAGAACTTGCATAGATGGTGTTTCTACCTCACCCTTGGGAAGACACAGAAGAAGCTGGTACCAAGTGCTTTGGTTATGGATCTTTAGGTGGTTGGTGAGTCTTCTCTCCTCAGCCTCCAGCAGCTCCCTGACACTGCTGAGCTCCACAGACCTCCTCAGGCACTGTTCACAGCCACTGCTCCTGCATGGAAGTGGAGAATTCAAGCCAGGTCATAGCTCTTCTGTATGTGAGTGAAGAGTAGGAGAGATCACTCCTTGGTTTTCCTCTCTGTCAGAATCACAGCCAGAAATGGGTGAAGGCAGGACTCTCAGAGGGATGAATCCTAGACACTCTTCTTGTTGCTTCTCTAAACAGCCTTTTCTGTATTCTCTGAAGACTCTCCAGGAGCCTGGTTAGGAGGAGAAGATGCATCTGGAAAAGGACAGCACAGCAGGATAAACTCTGCCAAGTCTAAAATTAAACTTAAGAGGGCTTAAGAGATCAGTTATACAAGATATCCAAAAATAACGTAGAATAAATCCTAAGAGGAATAGTGAAAGCACTGCTGACTTCTTCAGTCCTCAGTAAGATGCATGTCTGCATGGGGAAGTATGGATGTGATCTATAAATACCACCAGTGTTTACCACTGAAAATGGAGGAGGGGTTTCCAGTGCTCCAGCAACAGGAACAACAAAGGGAAGTGTCAGGAGCTGCTTGTGCAGTTCCTTCCAATGACCTTCAGCAGCAAGACAGGCACAATCCAGACATCAGCTGCTGGAAGTGAAGTGACATCCTCCCAAGCTTCCCTGTCTCCAGTCTATGCTCAGTCATTGTGCTAAAAAAGTCCAAAAGGGCTTTTTCTGGACATTCCAGCATTTTCTGTCCATATTATTTAAACTGGAGGCCTCACCACAGCCATCTCTCCTGGGAGAGATGGTGTTCTGGGCAAGCTGGTTAGAGGGAGGAGGAGGATGCACATTCCTCCCAACAGCCTGTGACCACACTCTCTCCTCCTGTCCTGCAGACAAGGCACCTGCAGCCAAACACCCTCGTACCATCAGCCCCCTCAGCACCCCCACGTGTCAGAAAGGCTCTGTGTCTGAAAGGCACCACGTACCTCCATCCTCTTTCTTCTCCTTCTGTAACTCAGAAAATTCTGGGAAGTCCAGAACTTCCAGCCCTTCCAAGTGTGTGGCACGTACTTGTCAGGAGAATTGCCTCATCAAAACATTTCAGCTCTCAGAACAGCCTGTGCAGTTCCTGCAGTAACAAATGCCATTCCCCTTTGCCTGTCTTGGGATAACATGGTGGAGAGTCAGGTATTTGTTAAAACTTTCCAGTACTGTGGTTTGGATTCACTGCAATCAGAGGTGAGAGGTGATCAGTGCTAGCCAGTTAGCTTGAAGTCAGATTAGAATAAAACTTTCTTAAAAATAATAACTCACATCTGGGGGAAGAAAAAAAAACCAAGGGGAAAAGGAAAACAAAAACCACACCACAAAACCAGACCCAAACCACAGATCCATATGGCTAGAATGAAAAATCCTGCTTAATCTGCTTATATCAAGTCCAAATCTAAAGGTCACTCTCCCTATATTCTCTTCATTTTATGTCAGTGCACTCCTGAAACACCTCATGTCCTAAAACTCTGAGGCTCTGGATGAGAATGTTTCCTACTTACAGCACAGTCTCTTTTATAGTCCAGAACTCTTTTATAGTTTTTATATTTCTCTGGATTTCTTGGTCAGAGGCCTAAAGTACAGCACGTGTGAAAAGAAATGGGGAGAACTGGGCTTGTTCACCACCCTAAAACCAGAGAAAGAATGATTAGAAATGTGCTAGAGCAGCCAGAGAAGTTCAGGTTGGGTATAAGAGGCCACTTCTCCAGAAGGGTGGTGCAGCCCTGGGAGCAGAGCAGGGGGGAAACTCCATGCTTGGAGACCCTAAATGGTGGGTAACACCATCCTTGAGGCATTCCAGGATTTGGAAATGTCACAGTTGACCTGAGCAGGTGTCAGTGACAGTCCTGCTCGGAACAGGAGGCTGGACAGGAGACCTGCAGGGTCCTGCCAACACAGCCCTTCTGGGCTGGTGTGAATTCTGTGATCCAGTAGTTGTCTTTCTGTCTGTCTGCCCCTAAACTTCATAACTTTTCCATCTGACATTCCTTCTGCTCAGTTAGAGCCTGCCCTACCAACCTCTTTGGCCACAGAGATGGTGCTTTGATAGGTTAAGTGTCACCTCCTTTTCTTGACTGTCCCCTGGATTCACAGACTAGAAATCCCTGCCCTGCCATGGAGTTACCAAAATGTTCATTTCAATGTCAAGTGAACCTTTTCTTTTACAGCAACTTGTACATAGACTACAGACTATGTACACAACACTTCTCAGTGTATTTAGCATAGGTTTAAAATGGCAAAAATCAATTAAAAGCAGTCATAATAGCATTATAATAGTAAATTGTTATGTCAGCACAGTCATCATTTGAATAGTTATGTTTATCTCAATTGTACCAAAAAAGACACAGAAAAATTAATATTTTACATTGGTGTGTACCTATACTTGTATTAAAACTAAGAAAAAATTACACACTGACTTTGCCATCACCATGGCATTTCACTGTTTATTCTTTTTTAATGGCTCACATTTCCTAAATCAGTTCTCTGACTCTGCAATTAAAAGTGAGCAAAGGTAATTAAAAAATCCCTAGTCCTTTAGCTGCCTTGTCATCAATTAAAGTCTTAAAGGGCAAAATGGATTCTCCTCATGACCCCTGGCAGGCCTGCTGAGCTCTGACTTCTCGAGTCAGGTGAGCTGTTGGGGACCTTGGAATATATCACACCAAAGGAAACACATGCCCTTGGTGGATGGATGCACCTGGGGCAGAGGAGTTATTTTATGATCTTTGCCTGAAGAAGTAAAAAGAAAGGTCCAAGCATCCACCCTTAGGATACATTTCCTGTTCAGAAGAAATAGGCTTCTCTGCAAAAATAGAGGTGGAGTCCTAAACAGAGAGAGTTTAATTTGCAGTAATAAGAGGATGGAGCAGCCACGAAGCAGAGGGAGTGGCACAGGCTGTGATGGTCAGAGCAAGACATTTGCCTGCTTTATAAACACTATTTTTTTAAATGCTCTGTGATTGCTTAACTTCTTTGTGCTTCAGGTTTTGTCTGACCTAGTCACATGTCCTGTCTGTGTATGAAAACCTCTGTGCCCATAGAATGCTCCCACCCACATTGGGGCACAGGCATTGTCCAGTGATGGGAAGCAGGAGGGCAAAAGTGTCAGTGCAAGAGGTCTGTGCCCTCCCAGGGCAGGGAAAACCTCTGTGGTGTTTTTCCCTGTGTCACTCCATCCGGAGGGCAGCATTGCTCCTGGCCTGGGGAAAGAGCATCACTGACCCAGCAGGGGCTCAGACAGCAAAGAAAGCTTTTCTGCACGACCTGTATCCCACAGTCCTGATGAAGGGGCTGTAATCCTAAGGGAGGGTCCAGCCCTGTGAGCAGGGTGGGTTTGGTCAGGATGGAAGCACAGGGGAATGTCTGCCCTCAGTGTGAGACAGCCCTGGGGTCCTGTAGAGACTGGGGTGGGAGCAGTGGCAGGAACCCAGCCCAGAGAGGGGGCAGAGCAACACCAGTCCACTGCTGACTCCTAAAACGATCCTTTTCTTTTAAAGGTGAGAAGTGTCGAAGTTTTATTGACCTTGCCCCGGCTTCTGAAAAAGGTAAGACAACACAGCCAAGGCTTCTTCCCACTGTACAAATGGCATCAGTGTTGTGCCTTGTCATGCTGGAGTGCCAGGGGACACATCAGCACAGCAAGACCTCCATGTCATCCCCATTACACACAGCCAGGTGATAAAAACACCCAGGGTTTATGACAGCTGATTGCTCAGTTTATGCAGATCTTATGCATAAGATTATTAAGATCATAAGCTCATAAATTAAGATCATTCTTTGATCTTAATTCAGATGATTTTTTTTCAAGAAAATACAGATTTATATTGTAATATAGACACCTTTCTTTCTCGTGTGAGAAAGGACGTGCTACATGGTCTCCTCAGGCCATGAAGATATTTATGGTCAGAAGAATGCAGTCACACAGCACCAAATATCTCCTTGTGAGAGAGGCAATCATCTAGATGCATGTTTGTTTGCTTTACCCTTTTAAAAAATTATATGTTCAAGTGCACGGAGGCAGGCTGCAAACATTTTTCCTTACCCTGTTATTGGAGTTTAACTAATTAATTATTGAGAATTATTTAATTCTCAAAAGCAATTTAACCCATATTTTAAAATGGTATCTATAAGGAAAAAAAAACGTGTAGAGTTGCATTAAACTGGGTGGCTGAGCCCATCCTGTTGCCAGCTCCAGACAGAGCAGAGCACTCTGCCCACAGACCATGAGGTGCCCAGTACGTTTTGTGAGATCACTTGAGACAATCCCAAAGCATTTTGGGCACAAGGTGCCTTCATCAGGTGTGGTGGAGCAGCAGTAAGTGGCGGAAGGAACAATTGTTCTGAGTTTGTCTGAATTGCTGATCCGCGGGAAAACGGAGAGAAAGGCAATTACCATTAATAAAGCAGAGGGTATTGCAGTGAGAGGAACAGTCACAGGGAGCCTCTGTGAAATCCATTGTAAGCAAACCCAAATAAATTATGCACATAAGGGAAGAACAAGCCTGGGATTACTGCTGCTAATGGGCTCCGAGTTAAATCTCACACACACAAATGGGACCTCGGGGCATAACTGCTCTTATGAAACCAGCAGCTCAGTACCCAGCAGCAATCAGAAAACAAACTGTCTGCTAGAAAGCATTAGAAAAGGACTTCAGAGCAGAGCAGAGAGCGTGAGGACTGCACACATCTGAAAGCTTCACCTTTGTGCAAAATGCAGCAGGACATTTTGTCCTTTTTAGTGCAGCTCACAGAACAACAACAGGGATAGCAAAGTTCTGGAAAGTTCTGTGCAAGGACAAGAGTGAGACTCTGCAGCCTGAGGGAGAGACATGGGAGAGGAGATATAGTGGACAGTGATAAGGATGTGAGAGGAGCTGAAGAGGCAGCCTGGGTGTTAAGATCCAATTCCTGAGTGGTTCCCCACGGCGCTGCCCAGCCCAAGGACTGGTGGGCACAGCAGGGCACCCTCAGGAGACAGACTCACAGCAAGCACAAGGTGTCTGTTTTAAAGGCAGTGGAGTGGTTTTTTGCTTTCTCCATTTTCTGTGGAACTTCATTATGGTGCATAATGCTTGGCTCCAGCACCCACACACTTTCCAAAACAGCATTTAGTGCTTTACTTTTAGTATTTCTTTTGGTTGTGTGAAATGCTGTCAGCAATTTTTTTTTTTTCCACGAGAATTTTAGAGTTGCTGCATGATGTCAGTGCATATTTCTAGACTATTCTGTTTTTCTTTTTTGGAGGAAGGAAGGCTCCTTTGGTGTTGTGTTATGAAGAAAATTGTGTCTATGTCTGAAGTCTTTGCATGGAGCTGTAAGGCATATTGACAGAAAGAGAGGGCAATGCTGTGTCAGAGATGGAAAGTGCTGACCACCAGACTCACAAACAAAGCCAGGGTAAATTCCACAACTGTAAATCAAGTTGGACACTGCAACATAGTTAATCTGAAATTTTCACCATCAGTCTTGTACTGTAAAGAGAAACCCTCACCACATGTGAGGAGAAAATCGTGTATCAACGATGTCCAATTTACTTCCACTGAAGAATTCTGTAATTCCTTGAGTTAATCTGCTCTTTTCCAGTTAGAAAGAACTTCTTATTCCTCTAATTTCTTTATCCCCTCACTCAGCATTGACTTTAATGGTCAGAGGCTTATCAGCTACTCAGTTCCACCGAGTCCTAAGACAGATTCTTGATTCTTCTTCCAAGTAAATGAGATAGGATAAAATACAGTGAATAGCAAAATTTGAGTTCAGTTATACAAACAATGTGGGTTTCCCAGTCCATTGTGTAACTGGGAAATTTTGGACTAAACTTACCTTCACAATGAGACTTCAGCTTACTCAGTTCCTGTACATATTCTTGGATTATTCAATATTCTTATATATTCAACAACCAAAAACTGGTTGTTCCAGGTTTTGATCATCTGAAATATCTCTATAGTGCATGGTCTGTTACTGCAAACGAGCACTCAGCTTCCCAAAATTTCCTTTTCAGTTGGTTTTCCTTGATACAAAGAGCACCTCTGCCTGTCTGACCAACTTCTAAGCCAAAGAAGCCTCTTGAAGCCTGTGCCTACTTCTGAACACGTCACATTCCACTTTCAAGACATCCTAAAAAAAGGCCTAAGAACAAACTTAGCCTAATTGTACAGCCCATCTCTTCCAGAATCCGTTGCCAATTAACACCAGGACAGTACAAAATTCCTCCATGGTATTTAAAATAGAGTCTTAGCATAGAAAAACCAGTCATCAAAGCTCACAGTAAATAAAATCATCTATGGTCAGGTCTAGTTACATCCTTATCACAGATCTTGCATTCATAAATGAAAAAGTGTCTGTAAAAATCTGATAGTTTATGGCTGAGCTTCCCATCTTTATCCATTAGTGCTGATCTCCAGCGCAGAGTATCTCTGATCAGTTATTATACCCTTTGCATATATCTCACCAATGACATCTACTAAAAGGAGGCAGCAAAATTTGGGGCAAACAGACCCACAGTATGGTATAAATAAGCATTTCCAACCCACACTAGGAGAGCTTTTTCCTGCATTTAAGGCAGCTGCCAGCAATCTGTCAGAACCTCGTAAGCCTAACATTGAATTTATTAGCTGTTGCTGGTTCTTAGTGCCAAATCTGCTTAACAAAATCAGCTTCGTGATGGTAGATAATAACTAGGAAAAAACATTTTCCTGTGACAGTTTGCATTTGCTATTGATAAGAAATGATAGGGCAATAGCTGGTTACAGGATTTTTAGTGGACTCTCACAGAGCAGATGTTGGGTTCCACAATGTATGTTCCTTTCTAATTTTCATTACAGTTGTGAGCTGTAAAATAGCGAGTATTTCCAGAAGGAGTTGGAAGGAAACTGTCACAGTAGGCTGGACCTGATATTTCAGTTCTGAATTGCTTATGGGATCTTCTACTCAAAACTTAATCAAAGTTTTGCTCCTCCTGAGTATTTTGCTGCCTGAAGAGAAGGGTAACCCACTTAGTGAGGGTCGTTTTTGTCCCTCTTGTGGTGCCCAAACCACTGAGTCTGGAACACACCACCACACTCCTCCTCCCCTTGCACCTTCTGGGTGCACCTTCTAGATCCTCTTTCCCATTCCTCCAAATCTGTGCCCAAGAGAACTTCCAAGAGGTCAAGGAGGATACACTCAAAAGTAAAAAACCCAGGCCAAAAAATTATGTCTGGAAATCACGGCACCAGAATGGAAAGCAAAACATTGCAATATGTCCCATGAAATGAGCTGATAAATGGCTTCACTGACCACGTATCAGGCAGCTGGATACACACAGAGGTCTGTTCCTCCCCTGCCCAGGGCTGTGTGGGGATTCCAACTCCCCATCCTTCTGTAGTGCATCACTGTCATCTGTCAGCCACAGGGACACAGGGAGAGGTAGAGGATGAGGAGTCCTGACCAGCCCAACTCCTTGTGTAAGTGAAGGCTGGGATGTACACAGCAGAAATCAGTTGGAAGCAGCACTTGTGCTGGAAGCATTTTGCTGGAGAAGAACAAGGGTTTGCAGGAAATGTGATGCCCCTGAGAGTTTTTGGGATGGTGCTTTTGGGGGCTGTGACTCAGGCACTTTCCAAACACCTGGAATGCTCACAGCATGCGTGGAATTGAGGTGCTCTGGCCCAAGGAGCCCTGTTCCCAAGTTGCTTTAGGAACAGGCTGGAAGCTCAGTGTTGGTTTAAAATTTAGAGATGGCCACAGCAACACAGGGCAGGATTCACAGGGCAAACTCCTTGCAGGTATTGTAGAACCTGGTCTAAGTTATTCTAATGCTCTGTTGGACCTCTCTTACTTCAGCTGTGATACCTGTGGAATAATTCCCACGATGAGTGGCGAACCGGCAGCAACTGCCTGGATTGCACTGCTTTGTCCTTATTGATGGGGAAATCCACAGGCATAAAATTAGCAAGACTTTTTAGAGACCACAGGCAAGGCTAAACCTTGCAGAAGGAAAATGCTCATTGCTAGTGAGCATTTAACAGTCCGAAACATTACAGGGGGCTTTTTAAATCAGAGGCCGTCCTGGCAGAGGTAGGAGATGTCTTCTGCTTGTCCTCTGCACAGCTCATGATGGTGCATCCTGGAGAGACAGAGCAATAAAAATTCTGCATTGTCTAAAAAGTAGCTGGCAAAGCTGAGGTAGCACATGGCAAACAGCAAGTAAACAAATCAAGTCTCACCTAAACACAGCACAGAAAAAGAGAAAACCGAGCCAGTTCTGTACATGCTCCTAAACCAGCACTTCAAGAGCAATTAAGGAGAAGGGAAACTAGATGCCTGATTTTAATGGATACTGACATATTAGGTGTACCAGAAATTTGATGGGAGAAAGATAATTAGCGGGACATTAACGTCTTGGTGCTGATTACCCTGAAAGACAAAGCAGATGTCATGTACTAAAGCTGAATCAGAATAACAAGGTAATGTCATTAATGAGCAACACAATCTCTACGGATGGATTCCATGTTCAGACAAAAAATGCAGAATGATATTAGTGATCACCCATTGGGACAGTTTCACA